GTGCAAATAACAGCGCATCCACAGACGGGATGTTCTGCTGGTGTTCTCCTGCATGAACATGTGGTATCAGATCTGGTATCAGAGTGGGATAAAGCACTGCAATCTGTCATAGTTTCAACACCTGTGAAGTGGCTTTGAATCTAGCCTTGAGTGTAAAACTGACATACTCTATATCATCCAAATGTTCCCAATCATGTTCCAATTTATGAGTGTTCTTTTTTTTTTAATTGACAATGTTTTGTGGCTGGTGGAGTCAGTCTGTTGTTTGGTTCTGTTTGTTTGGTCACACAGTTGGTCGGTTGATCCATCACTTTTGTCCAGACTGAAAACTCGCAGCTCCACCACCAACAATAACAACAACAAAGAATAAAACATTTATGCAGCAACACCAGAGATAGTGTTTTTTGTTATTTCACACATTCTTCTTCTTTATCAAGCCTACATTACTAAACCTACATTACCCACAAAACATTTTGGTTGGCAACAGTTTGGATTCAGGTGTGTTATGCTAGTAGCAGCTAATGTATGCTGAAGCTTCAAGACTCAAGCAGAGAGGAAGAGCAGGGTGTGCAGGAGTCTGGTCAGCTCATGTCCTTTAGTCTTTCGCCCCATTGCCGCACTGACGTGACTCTGATCCACTATTTGTCAAATTCAGTGAATATCTCCTGACTCTTTTCAGTGACTATCTCCTAACTGTTTGCTCTGTGTACAGACTGGAAAAGATTTTTAAATTCCTATACAGCCCTGGCTCTGGAAATGGAAAACAGACAAAGTGGTGCAGACCCCACCATACTACACTATTCCACTGCTCCTGAAATAGCTCTAAAGGGAGGGGTGTATTTGCAGGCCTGGTCAGTAATCCATCCACGCTGCATGTTAGCATGCTGGTGTTAGAATTTCGCTCAGAGCATCACTGTACAGCACAGAGCTACTGGCATGTAGGCTTGTTTATTTATGTGTTCAGACTCACATATGTGGTTATAGGCACTTATCATACTACAATCCCTGTCAGCTGAGTTGTGTTCAAGAGTTTTATGAAAGCCAGAACATCATAGTCTCAGTGTTCTCAAACTGCCAACTCAACAACATGGTTATTTTCTGTGTTACATGCGATGATTAAAGCCATTACCTATGGTCTGTGACTATGTCAGCCCCAGCACCTCCGCTCACTACTTTGTTAGTCTGATTTTGCAGACAGGGAAGTGTTGATAATTCCACAGGAGAGAGGATCACACAAATCTGCTTCTAATGATCTGCTGACAAGCCCCTACCAGGTCACGAGCTGGTTTTGCAAGATATGTTCTCCATGCCTTGTGTATAAATCATAAGGATGATTTGGTTTTTAAATGTATTTAATTATTTATTTACTGTATGACTCAAGAAGCATTTCCATTTCACATTAAATAAAAGTTCAACCTTGTACAATGAATTCATCTTCAAACCAAAGCAGACAAGAAATAGCTTTGGACATGCTTGAAGTTTTGAGGCCGGAGGCAGTGATCACATCATATGTGACCAGATATGGATTTTCATTTCAATGCTGGCTGTGGACAGGGTGAGACTGCAGCTATGCTGCTGAATACCCTGACAGCACAGGTTCATTCTGTGCCTGAGAATAGTTGGAAAATTGAATGCTAAATAGAAGCAGCTCTTATTGCACAGAATCCGATGAAAGAGTACAACTGCCTCCGATCCAAATTTATAAAACCCTTTGATGTTTGTTGGAATAATTTTATGCCTACTTCTCACTTTCCATTTTATGCTTGCTTTTGAATTTTGATTGTGACTACAGGCATTTTTCAATTGATATGCATTATGAACGCTGTAGTAATTCAAAGGCCTTTGTTGAGGAACAAACATGTCATTTGTCCTCAAAATGAATTTTGTGACTTATTGTGTGGTTGTATACCTTTGGTGAGTTCAGAGATAGCACTTGCCAGGGAGTTATTGTCTCCTCCTTCAAGATGTTTTTTAAAGCGATTTATGCTTTTAATTTCCCCCTTTCTGTATTTAATTTTACTGCTGAAATTAAATGCCTTGTTTGTGGGTGTTTTTGCAGTGTTCTTGTCTGTTCTTCTATGTACAGTCACACTTCAACAGCTATGGTATGACATGTGTTTGCGTGCATGCTACAGTACGTGTCGGTGTGTGTTTATCTATGGATGCACAATTGCCTGCTCAAATTTGGCATTTGGTGGCTCATTCCTTTGAGGGATGGCAAAACTTGAGAGGCCGCCTAAAATACTGTGCCGTAATTGGAACTGCTTTATCTTCAGTCTCATCAATTAATGTGCAATTTTCCATTTAATCACTACCACGCTCGCTGCATTTGCAATTAAAATGAGGACTGATAACAGAGAAGATGCCTTTCAGCTGATACCAGTTGGAATGAGAACAGAAACCAGAAGACGCAATCAGGACACAAAATGACTTGCAGAGACATGCACATGGCACACAAACAGTGTGAACACAAACAGTGCAAACAGTCACGTTCTTATAATGCTGCACTGAATACATATACATACATGCATGCACACATGCACAGCGTGGCATGATAAAACATGCAGATTTGCAGCTAAAACCCCAAATTAGAACTCATCACTGAAACTAAACCAGCATTTAACATCAGAAAGTTGGCAGCAGTGATGGGTTCAGACACCACTCACTTTGAGTAGGGTCTCAGCCACTTGTTTTGTGACTTTTCCAGTCATTGCTAGGGTCTGGGTCTCAGTGGGGGATGACCTCACTGGTGGGGAATGTCTGTCCTGAAGAGAGGGATGAAATGTTCGCATCATTTCCTGTCTAACAGTAGGAACTTGAAAACTACCCACAGATAGTCTTTTTATTCAAGGTGTTCAGGGCTCCACACAGACATGTGTGAGCCTAAAGCAAGCAGTTTAATATCAGTGAAAGAAAGAGTGCTGCATCAAACAGCTGTGGTGTTCGTTCTTAGGAGAATTAAGCACACAGTCACACTGTGTCTGGTATTCAGTTAGCCTTTATATTTAGAGTAAGCTCACTGTATGTTTGCATTTTCTATTTTCATTTTGTATGATATCCCCTGGGATATTCATGTTATAGTTTTTCTAAAATCTTTGCATGGCATTCTTGTAAAACTATACCAAAATTCTTGCATTATATGATTATTATAGTTTCTTTTCATCAGGCCATAACCTCGCAACTCAGAGTGGTATACTCCAAATCCTCAGCTTTAGAGGTCAGGTGGATTTATACCACATTTTTATTTCCTGGGGCAATAATGCCGAATGATGCAGCCAGTGCAGAGATTTTGCTCTGATGTTCCAGTTCCATTTCACTAGCTTATAATCAAGCATTTTCCTTCAGGTCAGTACCTTTCAGTCCAAGTGCACCAGTACATTGTATTTGCTGCTGACTTTCATCACCACAAAAGCTTTATATGGCATTATGAGGCATTTTTCCAATAAGTCCAGAGGCTCAAGGTATCCAGAGAACATTTGGACCAGAAGAAATCATCATGTGATGAACTGCATCAATGTTTAAACCACCAAAATGAACTTTGTAGTGTCTGTATCAGTCAGTTTGTGTCATCAGGACTTAAATACTTTCCGATAAAGATTTAAAACAGTAACATTTGAAAAATAAAACAAATAAAAACATATTTGACAAACCACCCATTTTCTGCCGCAGGTCAAATCGGTAATTAAGAGGACATTCCCATGCAGTCTACACATAAGATGCTTTCGAACTGGAGGGACTTTTTCATAGCTCTTAGAACTATTGGAAATGTACCTCCTTTTCTGTGGCTGCACTGGAAGAAGTGAGAACAATAATAGATCTTAGAATGCCATTTTGAGGGACTTCAGGGTAGGCACTCTCCAAGCACAAAAGGAACAATGAATGACTTACAGTATATGTGACTGCAGCACCACTGTCTTTTTTCAGAATTCATGTTAGCCATGTAAACAATAGCGATCAATAGCCATCACCAGTGGCATGGAGAGCTGCAGTCCTCCAGCGTAAGCCTCTGCAGAGGGTTAGCGGCTCTTTATATCATTAATGTTAGCAACATATAAATAATATACTTAATAGTAATGTAATGTCACTATGTGTTAACCGTTTTGAGCTGATTGGCAAATTGCGAGCAGTTGGCCGACTTAGTGTTGCTTCACTTCACTGTTCCTACTGGCAGTGTGAATGCAGTCAGAACAAAGCCTGTAAAGCTGTGTAGTTCGTGTAGTCCCCAGAACTCAGTCCTTAGAACTGTATGAGGCTTCAGGATAGAACACCTGCTCTGCTTTCCTACAGTAAGTTGGGGCAGGGTAGGGGGTCTGTGTGTGTGTTTGTGTGTTTGATGTACCCCTGAACCAATTAGCCTCTTGAGTGTGGGTGGGGCCAGTGGTTAAAGCAGCATTCCACAGGGTACAGCCCTCAGCCCTGTGGGGTCTCGACCAATAGCAATTAGCCTTCCAACAAGACTCTTAATTAGACCTCTTGATTGGTTTGGTGCAACAACAACAACAACAACAGCAGCCAACACATAGACCAAGGTGACTCCACCACGAGGCCTCACTTTCGAGCCAGCTGTAACTAGTAAACAAGCATAGATGTCTGTAATTGGTAAACAAGTGCTCAGGTTTGTTTGTGGTGTCATTATGAAACCACTGCTATGTAAAGTATTTCTGTAAAGGGCTCCATGATTGACTTGTGTTGCTTTGTTTTCGTTCTGCTTGGTAGCATTGATAGATCCCTCAGTATTAATACGCCATCCCAACTTCTCTAGGAGCTCTATGCAATACAGAGAGGGAGAGGGAGACTAAGATGAGATGGAGCAAAAAATAAATAAATTAGTAAGTGGAGAAGGGGGAAAGAAGTGAGAGAAAAGAGAGCGAGCTGCTGCTGGAGAATCCCATCTCCTATTATTTAATCATAGCAGCACCTGGTGGCTGCTGCTGTAATAGAATTTAGTATCACTGCTTGCACTGAATTCATGTTTTCTCTTTCTTTTCTCTCTTTCCCAGTCTCAATGTGAAGCTGTCCCATGATGCAACATGTGTCCCCAGCACCTGCAGTGACAATGATGGCCACCCAGAGCGTCCCTCCACCATCGTACCAAGAGAGCCAACAGGTCAGAGGTTTTAGTACAATTTACCTGAATGCTTGAAGTAACTCTGCATCATATGAATAAATAATAACTCATGACCCCGAAAACCTATTTCCTCAGCTTTTTACTGAATGGTTTTACAAAATCATGCAATTTTCTTCCAAGCTTAGAACAGTTTGGGTTTTGTATATACTTGTTTGTGCTGTATTTGTGTTATCTGTACTCTTCTCACTGGTTTGCACCAATCGGACTTTAACAATAGAAAAATGTGACTCTGAATGTGATGACAGTTGCTTAGCTAAAGCCGGTTAACATTCAGTGTTAAACTCTTAATCGTACTTTGTTTACTATGTTTTAAAGCTGAACCCAAAAACTGAAGAAGTATGAGGAAGAGGAAAGTTATCAGGTCAAATGAATGTTTATGAGCAAATGGCCCACCCTTAGTGAAGAATCTCATAGTGTCAAGTTAATAAAACTTTTTTCTTTTTTAGAGCTGTTCAGGAGGGTCTGGGCTCCTTAGGACAGAACAGAAAATTTGGGTTAATAGTTCCAGTACAAAATGTCACTATGGAGAGCACCAAAGTAAAAGTGTCTTCAGGAATATTATTGCAAAAGAACATTATAGAGAGAACATAATAGCAGTAATACAATGTTAAAATGATACCTTAGAAGAAGAAAAATATTAGGAACAGTAAAATTAATATAACTACTGAGCACCATAGCCATAATCTAAGTCTCTATAGGGATATTTAAATGATTTTTTCATGAGGCTGAACTTCATGTTATAATTAAGGCACGAGTGCCAGAGTGATGCGTTCAAATGTATGTCAGAGTGTAAGAACTAAAGGTCAAGCCCCAGCCTGTGGTGTTCGACACAACATGTGATACCACCGACAGGTCAGTATAATTAATGCAACTAACTGGAGCCAGGCTTTGACTGCAGACCATCCCATGGAGGTGAAGTAGAGCAGGTTCATCTGACCGCCTCCTCATCATCCATACTGTCTCTGTCTGCTTTCGCCCAGAGGATTAGTGCCAGGGGAGAGCTCATGAGCTGCAGTTTGTGCGTTTGGCAAATGCAAATGAGAGCTAGTTAAGTGTGAAGACGTTAATTTATTTCCCATTTGGTGCTGGGATTAAGACTTGAAGCTTCCTCCAACCCCAGCCCAACACACACACACACACACAAAAAGGTGGCAAGGATGAGGGTTGTTACTCATTTCCTCAGAGAGAATAATTGAGAGAAGGAAAGTCAGGTAAAGGATAGAAAAGACAATGGCCCATGTTTGTATTGCTGAATGTCACTCTTCTGCTCACCCAACAGCATAAATTACACCGAGAAGTTAACAGATTCTTTAATGATTCCAGCTTGAACAACCATTAGTCTTCTAGCTCAGCGAGACAATACAGTATGTATGGTACTGTAAAACAGTTGTCTAAGTAGTTAGGTCACATCAAATTCAATAACTGAATATCACAAATCACAAATTTGTGTCAAGGTATCTGTCCTTGGACCCTCAAACTAGATAAGAAAAAAGCATCCAAAAAAATAAAGAAAGAAAAAGCATAACACTGCTGGGAAACTTTAACAATTTATTTAAGTTTAAAGTGATGTTGTGATCATTCGTTATGTCTCCAGATGACGGGCACCACTCAGCAGAACACCAAGACCCCACAGGTCCATATCCCAACAGCTACTGCAGCAGGAAATACTTCCGTCAGCGTGACCCTTGACCCTCAGGCCCAGCTTGAGTCTGACAAGAGGGCTGTTTACAGGTTAGTTCAATCTCCTGTTAAAGGTTTTAATGTTATTATAAGTGCTATACTAATGTCTTGGATAAACTATGCACAAATCTGAACGCTACAATATTTGCCAGAGTCAGAATCATCCCAGTTTACATAAAGCACTTACTGTAGTCAACAAGCAGTGAAACAGATTTTGTTTATATAACTGGTGATGTCTTCATCTCTTAGTAAATCAGTGTGAATATTTGGTCTAATACCATATATGTCAAACCAACTATGGCAGTTACTGCTGTTCTACCCCTTGAGTTTCCTTTCACTTATACCTTTGAAGTAATTACGACATTTTCTCTCTGGCCTTATGCTGGCATTAAGAAACTGTACTAAACTGAGTCGATGTGCTACTTGTTGATGAAGGCCACAAGCACTAGTGTTGTTTTTAATGTGCTCTCTTGAACTAGCCAAGGCATAAAAGCTTTTGAAGATTGTATTTGAAGGTTGCCTCCTTCAATTTTTCCTTAATGTTGTTCATAAATGTTTTCATTCATCAAAGGCAAGCAGTTACACCCTCAATTTCCTCTTCCTCAAATTTAGTGAAGTGACTTTAAAATAAACATTTGATATGGTGGCAGTAGTTGGCTGTTTCTCTGATTTCTGCGCAGTGTATACAGGCTCTGCAGCCTCATGTCTCGAATTATTAGACTGAGACAATGGATGAATAACTAGATGCTTTCCATTGCATTATACTGCAATGGAAATACAAAAGCATTATAATCACCCATGTAGGCAAAAAAGAAAGAAAGAAGCAGAAAACACACATGGTTAAAAAAAGATTTGAAATTTAACTGGGCAAACAGAGTTGTTTTGTGTGAGGTTTAAGCATGACTCCAGACTGAAATAGTAAAACATACTTTATTTCTCTTTCACGCCAACAGTCATTTCAACAGGTAAGCGTCACTCCTGAAGTGATAGAGACAAATACCTCTTGGTATAGATACAGTGAAAGTACAGAAAGAAGCAATAGTGAAGAAGACACTAGACTGTGTGAAAAGAGATTGTGTCAAGATGAATACAGCAAAACATCAACATTTCTTGAAGGTGCTGTGAAATTTTTGAAATAACCTTGTTTCATTCACAAAAATATTACATTTTCTCTAAGTAGACTTTAACATCAATTTGTAATAAGCTCTGAGTAAAAATGGCAGTTTCCATGCTGAACTGTAGAGAAGCTTTTGGCTTATTTCTCTTGCATCTTGTAGGAGGTTTACAAATCAACCTACAGACATTTATTCTAAATTTTATACTTTTACTTTCCAGGTCTACACTCTTGTTAGGTGTAGAAAAAAAAACCACTGCCGGGTGAAACCCAAAAAACACCAGTAAAAAATACCAAAAAAAAAAAAACAACACCTCACTCCTCTCTCAGCTTATCACTAGAATATTGATGCACCCTTATTATGAGCTTGTATTATCTATTTATGAAGTAAATTATTCACAATACAGATATTTTTAATCGAGCCCGGTGAGCTCCTGGTGTAGGGAGTACACTAACATCTAACTAGATTTGTTGAGCCAAATGGGGCACAAGCTGTTCTACACGGTCTGGTACAGCCAGTCCTGCAACGAAGGGCCGTCTGTCCCAGCTCCTCAAGTTCCATTTGCCGCTGCTGTTGGAGGAGGCGGGAGCCTCCGTGCTCTGGCCTGAGGCGAGCTGCTGTAAAGTCCTTAGCAGCTCCTCTGAGATACATGGCTGCCTTTGATGTGAGCAGCCATGTTTGCAGCAGCTTCGAGTGATGGTAGTGGTGGTGGGGCTCTCTACGTTCCTCATCCACTCTCCTCCTTTTCCCTCCCTAAACCACAATTAGAGGACAGTGGGCCCACAGGGGAAGCTCACAGGGGCAACAAACACAGACCTTATTAAACATTTTATAGGACTTTGTCGTATTTTACAGACATTATTTATAAGTATTTTTACTGTGTAGGTGTATCACTTGTTGTCTTCTGTAGAAAATGCATTAATGTTGATAATGCTAATATACTCTATTCATTGCCTGGTTGGAGTGCCTCTATAAAATTTAGGATCTAAATCCATTCTTGGGTTTGTACATTAAGGCTAAACAATTTTAACATGCACAGTAGAAAACGAATTGCAGCAGTGTATATTGTTTGTGTGCTGCGTGGTAATAAAAGCACTGTGGTGCAACAAACAGGAATACTGAATCATAGCGACATCTGTATGAGAGACTTTCTAGCTGTCCAGTAAGTCAAAACATGGATTAAAGTTGCAGTACAGCATATCGAGAATAATGCTTATTTGCTATATTTCTGAGAGTGAGATGAAGGACACAGTAGATATCAACCTCATGTCTATGTTTAATTAGGACATAGTTATCTTAGCACAAAAACTGACAACTCACCTGACTGTCCAACAGAAAACATCAATCCTCCAATAAACTGACTAATAAACGTGTGCCTTATTTGTGTAACCTGTACACAAGCAGAATTTAAGCCAGTGGTAGGCAATGAGCAGCCCATCCATGAGCCAAATCTGGCCCTCCAACAAAAATATCAGAAGTTTAGCTTCTGCCTTCTGTATAGTAGTTCACATTCAGATGTTTGGTTTTTTCAACCAGCCGAGGATAATAAATACAAGGCTCCTGTAAAGTCCCAATGATCATGATCTTTAAGAATAACCAGTGCACCCACATATACAGTATAGAAGGATATAAATCTAAACCAAGGCTGCTACACTTCACTCTGTGTCACGCTATTTTAGTCACTTAGTGCCTGATGGTAGAAGTCTGGTATAGCTACAACAAAAATGGCACAGATACATAATGTCATATAATATAACCCATTTCATTTAAATGAAACATGGCCCCTGGTTTCCATCAGTGTTAATTCCATGACTTTGACTGACTACATCAGATGCAACACACAAATCCAAACACTGAAAGCATCTTGCACATGCTTGTAAACCCACACTGGCCCCAGCTGAACAATGCAAAATGGACCATGACTAGCCACAACTGCCAACCTTTGGCTGCCCATGTGTCCTTGAGCAAGACACTGAACTCCAGTGCTGATGGTTAGAGCAGCACCTTGCATGTTAGCTTGCTGCATTGGTGTGTGAATGAGAGGCAAATTGCAAAGCACTGTATACATAAAATCGCTAATTAAATGTGGTCCATTCCATGAACTGGTCATTTTTTGGTGCACAATAGCTTTGTGTGTGGACTATGTGCAGCAGCCCAAAGTTTTTATTTTTTTTACTTTTATGTTTGTGTACTACTTAAATAAACAACATCTATTGTGTTATTAGTGTCCTTTGGGTATATTCTTTTCAAACTGGACAGCACCAGACCAGCTGTTTGCCCCTGCTTCCAGTGTCTATGCTAGGCCAACTGCATCCTACAGATAGGTTCCTGTATGATTAATTATCTTTCAAGGTGTTTGAAGGGGGTGTCTGGTAATTTAGTATTGCATTTTCATGAAGTTAGGAGGGAAGACAGCCAAAATTGATGCAGCAAAGGCAGAGAGGTAATGACTGTTATGGAAATCAAAAACACTGGATGCAAGAGCTGCTATAATGCAGTTCCCATTAACAGCATATTTCTATACACTTTCCCTAGTAAACAACCATATTTTTCAGACTTCTCACCTCTAGTTTGTAAAGTAGGCTTTCTATTGTGTATTGCTGTTTATTTTCTCAGTCCTCCAGACCCACAGACGGCATTATACAGCTGTTTTCACATGCTGAGTTGCACAAACTATAATAAGTAAACTGTATAATTGGTTAAAAACAGATTTATCATTAGTTTTAAATAGCTGTCTACTCAGCCAGCCAGGGTCTATATCATTTAGTTTTAAAGGCAAATACAGCTGTATGTTATCAGTATCTTTATGTGACATAAGGGGCACACAGGCAGAGTAATAAGATGGAAATTGGAGTTACTTCCCATTTAAATGGTGAATACAAAATCAGCTGAGTCTGTAAATGTGTGTGATGGCCAATTAAAATGTTGTGATCCACAGTGTCAGAGGCAATGCAGAGCTGAGGGTTCATCAGCATGTGCTGTTAAAAATGATTATTTGGAGCTCTTAAGTGAAATCCTTGCTGTTTTGTGTTCAGATGAGGCCAAGTAGATTAGAATTCTGGAATTATTTTTGCCCATGTAAGGAGCTAATGACTAAGTACACCTTGTTACCGTGTTATAAACGCAATTAAATTTGATTTCACAAGTCACTGTCTCCCACAATGAGCGAAATTATGCACAAAAGACACAAATAGCACTCTTATTTTAATAGAAGTCTGATCTGCCAGTGTTCCTGCCTCTACGCAGTGCTCATATGGGGGCTGTAAACTTTGAAAAGAGAAAAGGCACAGGGAATCAGTATCTTTTCTTTAATTATTTTGCTCAGGAAGTGCATGTGGGCTGTAATGTTTCTTTTCACTAATTGCTAGATTGCCAACTTTATGAGGAGATACGTGGTTTTCTCTCTCTCTGTTCTGACTCTCAGCCTACTTTGTTATTAGCAGCAGAGTAATTGTGTGATAGGGTAATTAGCCTAATGAGTTGTGGCATTTACTATAAAGATCCTTCTGGATTCTCTGCACCTTATTAAAATACCGGAAAGGCTTTTGTTTTTTAGGTTGCATATGTAGCGTTCAAGGCTGATGGAAGTTGATGTGGCTCAGACATGGAATTGTGCTTGTAATTGAAAGAGACATCATAATAGTGCTTCTTCTTTTAAAAACAGAAATGTCCTTGTAGTGCTAAGAAACAACTTGGGTAGGAGAGCTGTGTTTACCAGGACACAGTTTTAAGGTCACACTTTTATGAGTTTGCTTGAGTTAAGTGTTTGCCTGCTTTGCATGTAGGAAATCAGTGATAAGCAACAAGAGCACTGTGTTTTTTTTAGAAGTCCGCACCAGCAGCATTACTGTTTACAGCAATATCTGTACTGGTAATATTTCCATGAATCTACTGTATGCACTGCACCAGAAAGAGAGCTAATATCTTGGATTAGAACCGATTAGAATTAAAGAAACACTCTGGGTTTTGGATTTATTTCCTATAAGAACCTATTCATCACACATATTAAATTTTATTTGGCTTATTAAGAAACAGTTGTACATGATATGTAATGCATACAGTGCCTATAAAAAGTATTCATCCCCTTGGATGTTTTACCCTTTTATTGATTTTATAAATCAATAATGGTCAATATAATTTGGCTTTTTTGACAAAAAAAAATTAATGTGCATCAAAAAGTGGGAGAAAATAGGAATGGGAATAAAATTGGATTTATTCTGTGTTTTGACAGTGGTGGGATCATTATACAAAGTAGCTGGTGTTGCCGTGCAGGGCCCTGTATGGTGCATATTATCATTCGCTCCCCTCCATAGTGGGTCTTTGCTGAAAACCTCTCCCATGCTGGTCAGCCTGGGTATTGTGCATTGAGACTGGATTTCAGGGTTTATGTGTATTTGTGGGAAAGTTAACATGCCATCATGCTGACAACCGCCAAACTACAAGAGATACAGGAATTTATTCAGCCTTGGGTGTGTTTATGCATGTATGTGCACTTGCTGTTAATGGCCTAAACAAAGTAAAGGCCTGAAGACCTCTTGTGTCATACACAGTGGGAGGGAAGGTTTTTAATTTGACACATCCAAGGGCAGCATTGGCCACATTTGTGCTGGCTTGTGTGTTTGCCTGCCTCTGTAATGCACCATAAAGTCTGTTTATCCTCACTGCCACAATGCATCAACACATTCTCGACCACTGTGCTGCTCTTCCAGCTGCGCAAAGTCTCTTGCTGTCTGATGGGCTTAAAACGGGCTGTGCCTCCTCCATTTAGCAGGTCAGCATGTGTTGGTGCTCAGCCACTGCTGAATGCAGAAAACTGTGTCAAAGCTCAAGTGGTTTTATTGGCTGTTTCT